CTTATAGTTAGGACGAAGTCTTGACTGTCGGAGTGCACGTCTAGCCGCGAGGCGGGCTAGGTCTGGAGTGTGGTTTAGCGGCAGCCATGGCCTTGAGGTCGGTCCAGACGGATGAGGCCAGTTCACGAACATGGGCATCTCATTGGACGGATGAAGGTCACGACGGGAAGTAGAGGCGCACTCACTTGTGCCCGGTCCCAAATGCACGCCGCCAGCAACAGTGGGGCGCGATGAGTCAGCGATCACGAGTTCCCACAGTGGTGCGAACGCCTACTACAAATCCTCTATCTGTCTTACTAAAAAGTGGGCCTTTTTAAGTGATTAACACCATTCAAACCTACCGACTTATGCTTACAAGGAACTCTGTCAGCCAATGCTTAAGGATACTAAAATAAACTTTGCTATAACCTTTGCTTGGTCTCCTTCGCAGCAGCAAGACTATAAAAGCCCTGCAATCTGTTTCTTTGAATGGCATCGGAAGCAGTATTAGTTAGTTTTCCTTAACAGAAATCTAACCACTGCAACTCCGAATTAAACCCTATACGACCTTAACAATAATGTCGCTAGCTAAATGGAATCCAACCACCTGTTTATTGTGTCCCGATACTGCTCCTTGCATTTCTTAACTCGGCCGTACGTAATTCATCATGTTAAAGTATTTATTCATAGCATACTACCTGACAGTCCTTAGATTTGAGAAGACACACAAACGTAGATGGAATAAAAGAAGAAAAGCTCAAACTAGCAGATTTTCCCTGTCGTCTAGTTGAATTACTGCAAAAAGTTGACGTATGACGAATGATGCTAGTACGAAGGCCAGCAAGTAAAGAATACTTCAGTTAAATTGGAAAAGGGCAGACTATTCTGTATCCGCTGAATTGCATATTCTCTTCTTTCCTGTATTTTAACAAACGTTTTCTCAGTCTTTTGGAAGGCATATTTCGTGCGTATATGTGCGCAAACTGCTCTATTGTATTTTCTGTTGTTCTAAACATGACTCACTTTGAATTCCCATTTCAGACGTTATATCTGCCGCAACATACGGATATGAACAGTATAACTTACAAACTCCAGTCAAAGAACGTACACAGAAACGCCTCAAGGAGTACGCTAGGATACAATCGCAACGCCGGTACCTACGAGGAGGATTTGGAAGCCTCCGAGATCATGCACGATGTGCAGAATACACTTGTCGTTTTCGGCAAAATAGATCCCGATAAGGATGAACCAAGGCCCATGAAGACCTGGTCGAAGGAGTACCGCCAGCTGGTGTCCGGACAGGTACGTATCACAAACGGCAACAAAGCGGATCCGGTTATCTCAGCCTACACAGATGTGCCCGAATTTCTGGCCGCGCATACTTCTACCCCGGACAAAGACACCACCTATGCTGTCCTCGACAATGGCTGCGAGATCAAAATTAGGATAGACAAGAACGTGGATCGTGACAGCATCCAGTTTATCAACGACACCAGAGCAGAGAAATACAAGGTCCTATTTGACAGGCATGTAAAGGAGGGCGAGATGTCTAACGGGCACACCGATTACGACATGCAAGTGAACCAACTGTTCCGCTTTTCCCGGGATCGCTACGACTTGGATAACATCACCGGCAGGGTAAAGGGTGACTACATCGTCCTATTCGCACCCTTTCTCAGGTCGCAAATGAAGTCTTGAACTGCCTTACATCATCATCTTTTTTGCCCTGATAAGAAGAAGTAATATGGAATTGAGAAGAGAGTCCGAGAGGAGAGAATCGCCTGTGATGAGTTGTTTTTCAAACAATATTTTGCATGAAACAAACGTTTAACTACAAGCTTTCGAACGATACGTTTTTGTGCTCAACACAACCTGCACTCTTTCAGGCTGCATGAATAAGCCAGTCTACGCAACTAAATTGTCGAACCATGTTAACAGTTAAAATACCCCCTCTACCTTTACTGTTTAT